TGTCAGTGGGTCTCCGACAGTCCCTTTTGTCTTAAGGTGATATAAGGGGATGAGTGACAAATGTGGGTTAGAACGCTATCAATTGATTTTATTGGGTTTATTGTGTCAGCCCACATTGGTCCATCTATCTCTTAACCCCATATTTTACAATCATACAATGTTGTATTGTTATTTTGACAATAAAATCTGGGATTATGAACTCTTTTGAAATTCCAGCTTATTTAGTAAAAGTTAATTAATACTATAATAGCTAGAGTAGTAATAGTAGTATTAGAGTAGTATCTGCTTATATATGTTTATATATGGATGTGTCGCGTCGTAAACAAATTCCTCCTGAGACTGTGTGTGCGAACCGACCGAGGTGTTAGTGCTCAAACCTGTGCGCGTTGCCACGAATCGCTGGCAGTGTTGCCTGGCCAAGCTGGCAGCATTGCCTGGCCTTTGACATAGAGAGCATCAAAGCTGGACACCAACAGCGTCATGCAGCGTCACCAAACAGCGTTTGGGCTCCTGTCCCACCGAACCGATTCGGTTCGATGGGCCAGGGGTAGGTGGTTTTGGGGGGTCGAAGACCACCGGTCACCTGAGAGAAGATGTCCCAGGAGCCCGAGGGAAAGAAAGAGGGCTCATAACTTCTCGCCCCTTTAAATGGGATATTGTTCCACGCTATGCTGTATTGTTTCCCATGTCGGTAGCACCGGCTGGCCAATATGGATTCTACAAACAGCCACCCCTCCACTCTGCACGCATGCCCAAGGCACACACAAGGCTGTCTTATTCAGCGCTTGCACGTGACAGGAGTTGGGTCATAACAATTATATAATGCCATCAATCATGCGCTTGATCGACTTGGAAGCTCGCGCATGCGGCCCAAGTGCATCGATGGACCCTTCTGACGCATTGCACCGGGATCGTAGTTGGACTATAAAGGACATGGAGAAGATCCGTGTCTGCTCTTTTTGAGGGCTTCTGCCAGAATGAGTGGGACGGCACCTTCACCCGAAGCCACACATGGAATGCTTCAAGATGATGCAGTCTATTCCAATATACAGCAGCTTTAGAGTAAATAGCGCAAACCCATAGACCACTTCACATGGGGGCTTGGTATGGGTCGATCATTTGCTCCTGGGAAGGCTGTGCCATTGGTCAATCACTGCGATATGCCCACGACTCTTCAACATCGCCTGCCTTCTGGATGGTTTCTTCTTCGTCAATGTCGCCCACGATGAACAGAGTGGCATTCTCTGGGACATACCACCTCGAGGTGAGCAGTTTGGAAGTGAAAGGAGGAAATGCTTGAACATGCTCGAGTTTATAACCATACTTGATTCACCAAATCTTGGGGGGCAATTGGGGCAATCACCACCACGCCATGTCCTGCCACCTTCCAAAAAAAAGGCGTCTACGGGGGCCACTTGTAAAACAACAAGACGCTCCTCTAGTCTGCACGGGCTGAGCCACGTGAAGTGGCCTGCGTGGTCTGGAGAAGACGAAGGGAGGAGGGTCTCGCCTGGAGTGAAAGCTGCGCAGCTGGTCGATGGACCAGGAGGCGATCTGCTGCTCTAAGCCTAATGGTGGAGAGCGGAGAAAGGCGGGGATCCGGTGGGTGGTCACGGTGGTGTGTGGTGCGGGTCTGGTGAGCCGGTGGTGAGCCGGTGAGCTGTGATGAGCTGGTGAGCTTCAATAGAGGAGATTTCACAAATGGATGTGGGAAGAAGGGGTACAGCAATGCATGCGGCGTAACATCAAAATGAACACCCTGCCGAAACGATGCGCCTGGAAAAATACTCCTAGAATGGATCTTTCTGGGACATGAAGATTACACACAATGATAGTGATGAGGAGGTGAAACACTAATGGTCAGGTGCAATGACGCTAAGCTGACGGGCCCTCTTTGAGGGTAAATGGACATCCAGCACATTGCCCAAGCAAATGCAAGGCACAATAGATGGATGTGCAGGGTAGGCATTGGAGATGCCCTAGCTCCAGAATTCTTGTGGCTACTTTACATTGTCAAATCAGACTCGGCAGCCGGCAGCCCCAAAAAGCGGGCTAACAAGAAATGGACTGGGCTCTTCGGCGATTCTTCTTCGCTGTTGGATTCGGGGGCATTCGGGGCGTCCGGGACAAAAAAAAACAACCATGTGTGCAATGTGCATATGTGATTCGGGCCCCGTACCAATGGGAAAGCGCGTGTGGATGCAGTTGTCCTGGCGTCCACAACGCGTGAAATCACGTGTTGAATGCAGGAAATCAGTGTGGGGGTCCAAATCTAGGTACATTGTAATACATACTGCTTCCATGTACTTGAGTGGGCGAAGGCTGCAACATACCGCAACAGAACAAACAGCAACTTGGCCAAGCCAACGTTCGGTTAGTTCATGAAGCCGCGACAGGTCCTCATGCAAAGCGCTGAGGAAGTGGGTCTGCCTCAGGCGGCAGTGGCATTTTACATCCATTTTGGATTCTGAATTTTGGCAAGCTCTCAGCACAGGATTCCATTTTGGATTTTGCTCAGGAAGTTGTCCAAGTAGCTGGGAAGTCATGTGGCTTTGGGTGAGTTCTGTGACAGCAAACCGGGAGTGGAACATCGAGGGTGGCAGCAAGCCTTCCCATTGATTTTAACAGGTTTCGCTCCACCCTCTGAAAACATGCTTGATAACCAAAAGGATGTTGCTAGTTCCGGAGCTCGGATACACTTCTAAGTTCCGAGTAAATACATCCGCTCCTATCAAAGTGTTCTTGCTTACTGCAGCCATTAGTAACACCCAACCCTCGCAAATCCTTTACTTGTTGCAGCGTGGTGGCTTCGCTCAGTTCTCCCACCAACAACGACCATGAAACCCCAGGAACTGAATGAACTGCCACAAAGAGATCCACAAAATCTCTTCCCCTATCAGTCAGAACCTCGGGGAGCCCCGATAATCCACAAAGCTGTCACTATGAAGACCTTTTCAAAGAAAAGGGCTCCACAGTGAGATTCAAATAACCAAACTCCCCCCCCCAAAACCAATCCCCGCGTCCTTTTGAGATCCACCCGCAGCAGTCTACGCTCAGCAACGCAGCTGGGCGCGGTGCCACCAGGGCGCAAGTCATCCATCTCTGCTAGGCTTGGGAGTGATGACAAGCCATGATCGTGCATCCGTGGCGGTTCATGTGATTCGGAGAAGGACGCGTCCTTCTCCGCGTCGGCAGTTACACGATTTGATGCATGACCCAAGGACTCGATTCGACGATCCTTTCAACTCCCCGAGCCACCAAGTTCTCGAGCCCTACAAGCCCTCGTCCTCCCCCTGCAAAGATGTCATTCACTTGCCGCCCCCAGCAGCAACCCCTGCTGCGGAGGCCGTGGCCGCGCGGACCGAGCTCAAGCGGCCGGGGTGGAGCCGCAGCAGCTTTCCGACTGGACAGTGTCCCACCATCCGATCTGAGACGATCCGAAGTGATCTCTGACAGGAGGTGCTTGATGGGAAAGAGGCGATTGACCTCAACAAAATACCTCAGGAACCACATCATTTGCTAAGATCATGTGCGAATCTGACTCTCACAAAACTTTGCCCGTCAGTTGGCAAAGGTATTCACTGTGGGCCTCCCAGCCACACCAAGGCTGCAAAACACAACATCTTCGGCCTAATATAGCTTTTGGGAGCGCCTCATGATCCTCATGGCGGCTGTGGCCAGGTGTATCAAAGCAATGAGGCTGACTAGTAAACCCCTTTTTCAGCACCCTCCAAGTCTGAGCCTGGGAGTGTGGAGTCCCACTTCCCGTACTCCCACACCATTAGTAATGAATTCCAGGAGGTTCTTCATAAGATCTGCACCTCGTCCGTAGATAGCCATCCCTAGGCCTGCATACATCATTCCAAGCTGCCTGCCCATGGCTGAGACTGAATGCAATGGATCAAGCGGACTCTGCTGCTCACCCCGTACTTCCACCCGAGAATCGAGCTGAAAAACCAGGAAGTCTGGTCTTGAAAACTGCAGCCATGACATGTGGTTCAACAGGAAAATCTTAAAAATAACGGGTGGAACATCCACCCACGTCTGACACGTGATGATTATCCGATTTTTCTGTCGATCGAGTCATGGCTCTAAAATCCGCGATTCAAAGGTGAGCTGTACAGCACCGCAACTGCAGGTGACCTGGTGGTCCGCACTCCTTTTTTCGGGGCAGGCCGAGGTCCGGACTGCGCAGGCCTGGCAGGCAGAAGCTAGCACCAACATTTGCAGGTCACCAAAACCAAGAGAGGTTCAAGTGACCTTATAGGACCCTACTGGGGTATCTATGGGATAGTCTAAAGTCTATATATATAGGCTTCTTGAATCTCTGTTCGAACTCTTCAATGAAGCCTTCAAGATTCTAGAGAGAACAAAACGTCTTTCTGAAAAAGGCGGGTCTTGTAAGCTTCCTAATGGAAGTCTGTGAATCCTTGACGTACATCCTGTCTGTACCCAAGTTTCTGTCGAACTGTCGGCAACACCACAGCTAACTCGGCGTGTGCTTCGCGAATCAGGTGGAGGTGTGGCATGCACCTACAAGTGGAAGTGGTTTGTGAAGTTATAGCATTCTTTGAGCAAGTAGAACATGGGGCAACCCCCCCCCAATGGACAACTTTGGGAGATCTTCTTCAATACGTCACAGACGGAGGTGTCTCATACAGTACACCCCCAGTCAGAAGCGAAACCAGTCGGACCCCCAGTCGGTTCTAATGGGAGACATGCTTCAACATGGGCACCCAAATGGGAGACGCTTGACTTGAGCCCTCCCCGTTTGGGCTCCAACGTGGGACTGGGGTGAGTGCCAGGGGGGGTCGAATACCACCTTCGAAACGGAGGTGGGCCAGGAGCCCTAGGGTTCTCAAGTTATGCCAATATCTGTTTATCTGTACTTCTTGGCACACAAGGGACGCCTGTCTCTTGCACCCTCCTTGGCCCCCCCAAACCTTACCTTGCACACGCCCGAGAGCCGTTGTGTTCTTTTGGGGGGGGGCGCGCGGCCTCTAACCGATGCAGGGGCAACAAGCAGCCAAGGTCTTCTTCCAGCGCAACATGCGGCTCACAGCTGGCTGGATCTTCGCCATCTCTTTGGAAGTTTGACCCGTGGCCTGAGCAGTGAATCATTTTCCTGCTGAGCCACATGACCAAAACCTATTTTAGGCAAACCTTATAATCAACAACACATTAACTTGGGAATTGAGATGGGTGTCATTTGGACCGTAATACATATATGTATCTCTATGTGTACATGTATATATATATAATTATATATATATATATGCACACACCTATGAATATATTGCTTGTGCATTAAAGTAGGGAGACCTCCCAGTTCGACCCCCTGGAAAAGGAGTGAGAATAGACCAGTCTACCCATGGGTTGGAGTAAAACGACTTGCGCCACTAGCAGCTGTCCCCCGACTGCCAAACAGTGGATGAAACACACAAGTGCCGGGTCAACTTGTTTGTTTCGACTGGGCCTGTGGGTCTTCGAGGACCAATGGCACAAAGGCGGGCCCCCAAGTCAGGTGGTTTAGGGTTGGATCCCCATCTGTCTAAGACATCCTGGGGGAAACGTGCCATCGAACCTCTGAAACCACAGGTCATGGGTGCTCTATCAAGTCATGGGTACTTGGCATGGAGGGAGGGAAGCCCGAAGCCATACCCGGCCACGTCGCCTGGTCGCTACAGTGGGCCGCGGATCACGGAGGCGTTCTGGAGTAAGACTCTAAAGCATGTGTTCAAAAGATATGATCAGGCGCCCAAGGTCAATAACAACTCGTTCCAACACAAAGATACACCGTACTGTACCCATCATAGACCTCCCGAAGCTCACTGTCACCAAGTGTCATCCACGACAATGGTCATCGCAGAAAACATGGCCACCACCTCAGCCGGTCCGCACGGACTGTCCTACGTTCCACTTGGGCGCACCATTGCGGTGCAGTGCTGAACGGTGTGTGGTGGACACTCCGAAACAACCACTCGTTTGGGCTCCAAGTACCTGCTCTTTCGAAAGGTCTTTGGACCCGTTAAGCATCGTTAAACCATGTTCAACCCACCCCAGTCCCACCTGAGGTTCTGGATCCCTAGAGCCGGCCACGGGTGGAAGAAGTGGATGGCCCGGCCCAGACGACGGCATGGCCCTCCACCAACGGGCGGTTCTCCATGTGCACCGTCGATGGTGGAAGTGCACCGGTCTGGGCAAAACGGGGAAGACCCGACAGGTTTCTCCGACCTCGCAGGTGACGGGTCTATCAGATACTATCATGCAAAAGTCCCAAAGCAGCAATTCAAGAGCTGAAGCTACTGCCAAGACAAATCTTTTGGACAGCCCACTAGTGGATGAGTAGAGACGAAATAAGCTAGTCTCGCCAAGCGGCGGCTGCAGCCTCTGCTAAGACTTCTTCTCCCGCGGCCTCTTTCAAGGCCTGGATGCATCCTGAGTGGCTCGTATGGGTGGTTCAAAAGCAGAAAAATAAAAGTCCACTATACAAACTAAGTTTAAGAAAGTCTCACCAGTTTCTCAGTTTGAATCATTTCTTGTGAGCTTTCAGGGTCCATGTGACAATGTGAGTTGTTCGAAGCCAACTTCAAGAAACCCTAAGGTGTTGGGGTGAAATCGCTGGATCTTGGGGTGAAATCTCTGGATCCAAGGCTCAGCACCGTCTAGGACCTTCCAAAGTACTTCATCTTTGTACCCATCCACCGTCCAGCGATTTTCAACTTGGCCATGACCATCATGGCGGGACACAGAGTTCTTTTCATGTGTTTTCCCCCTCAGATGATCATGACATCAAGAATGTGAACACCTCCTGACACAGCTTCTGAGTGTGTTGACCCACCGAACGTCCACGAATCCGAGGTTTTTCGAGACCAAGAGACCTGGGCCCCTAATGCCAACAACTCTTGATTCTCTAGGGATCCGCATACCTTCTCAGAAGGTACGACTGGGCCCTCCAAGCCTACACACATCGTCTCCAATCACCTTCTGAGAAGGTACTTGGATCCCTAGGGATTCATAAAACCCTGTATGAAAAGGATGTTAAAATTGGGAGGCCTTATGAATCACCAGTTGGTCCATCTGGTCCCCTGCATCTATCTACCTGGGATCCAATGACTGGGAGATCGGGGCGGCATCACCAGCTCGGCCCAGCATCGGTCCACGCGCTGCTCGGGGGGTTGGATGCTGGAGTCCTTGGGCAGGCGTTCGTCGGCCATGGCTTTGCCTTGGCCAATCCGGAGGGAGGGTCCCAAGGTCTGGAGGGATGGTCCCAAGGTCCGGAGGGATGGTGCAAGGTTCGGAGGGATGGTCCAAGGAATGTCTGTGAACATGGCTGTTCCAGCAGAGGTGGGTCATAACCCTAGTTCGACTATCCTAGTTCGGTACCCCTGGTGTTCGGCCTGTGGATGGCCCAAAATCGAGACATTGGTCACACACGAAAATCAAAAAAGACGTCGGGAACTCTGTACTTACCCAAATGGTGGGTCCCGGTCCCTGCTCCCGGAGAAACGGTGTCGACTTAGTTGGCACACATCCGGAGGCAACCCAAATGTCATCTTGACACTTTCGAATTGAAGCATTGAAAGAGTACCGAGAAAAGGACTCTTGACACTCCTGAAACACGACTCTTGACATCTTATTGCACTTGACATTGACGCTCTTGAATCAGGAGTACTGAAAGCAAAACATCTTTCTTTCTCCGTCTTTGAAGCCACTTGGCCCTGAGCCCTGCAACGGTGGGCTGAAGTAGTCTTTGTGGCAATGACAGAAGGCTCAGGCATCAAACATCACACCGATCGCAGGGATTCCGGACTTTCAAGTTTGGTCATGTCTTGCGGTGACATCAGTTTTTTTCCACCCACGCTGAAGGAACCCAAGTGATGACATCAGCACATCAGCGGCTGCATGTTCCACTCATTCTTCCGCTCCAAGGCACCCAAATCGATCATCAGCTGGACATGAGGATGCAGCTTATCGCCCATCAGCAGGCACATGTCTCTCATCATCACATGCCCGTCGCGTCAGAACACCTCATAGTGCAACAGTGCAACAGTGACACTTCTGTGAACAATCATATGAGGTATAGGTGAAAATGTGTGATGTGTGGACGTTTCACCGTCAAATTTGTGAGTCCTCTACCTTAAACTGTTTAAAGCAACTTCATATGAACTTGTTTGCACTTCCTCAGCCATTGCTCTAGCCAGTAGCCATGCACAACAAAAATATACAACAAGAGCGCCAAGAGCTGGTGCTCAGTTTCCAACACCCGTCCGTCAGCAGCATTTGGGATCAACGGTCAATGGCGCTAATCCAACAAACCAAGCAGAATGGTTAAGAAAGCACATAACAAACAGCACTCAAACAGCATATATCTTTTGTTGCTGTTGTCATAGGCCGTCATATCCAAGAACGTGAATGGTAGTGTTGTCATATGTTGTGCATGACCGTTGGCGTGGCAAACTACTTTTGGACACCAGCACCCGGATATGTTGATTGATTGTGTTACCTGTTGTCATATCATATGAGTCATATGCATGTCTTTATGTAGCTGCGGCGGAGCACGATACAACGCTCAAAGCACAGTGACAAAAACACATGGCTCCATAGACTGCTACAACTACAAGTACGATCCAAGCAAGCCGGGATCAAAAAAAAAATTGTATAGAACATTATATATATAATATATATATATATACAGATCCGAGTTGATACATGTATATAATTATAGAAATTAATGCATTAAATACATCAAATAACAACTTCCCTGCTTTTCGGTGCTCATTCTCCCCACAAACAGCCCGCCCCAGGCAGTTGCTATACGTCTCTTGCATGTCCCACTTCTTCCTTCCTTCCAAGCCACACAATGGATGCCAGTGGTATAGGCCGAAGCCACAGATTCCATGTCAGCACGGGAGATCTTTTGATTCCAACCCGAAATCTTCGTGATATTGGAGTTCCTATGCGGCGAGCGAGCTGTCGCAGCTGTCGCCGTGCGAACACGATTAGATCTTGCGTCTGTCACGAGATTTCGCGAGCTCTGGATTCCATATGGGTCTCTGAGCTCTGTCAGGGCTCACTATATGTCCTCTATAAACATCACTTTGAGCATCTCTTCTACAAGTTCAGGCATACTAATGGCAACTTCAGACTGAAGTCGTTTCCAGTCGGTGGCCCCACAGGTGGCTTGGCTTAGACACAGTGACGTGAAGCAAAAGGCGGCGGAATGGGCCAGACCGGCAGTCCCCTCGCAGGAGCCGCGGAACAAAATACAAAACAACCCAATATCCGACCGAGTTATACCTGGTTGTGCTTCTGGGCAAGCTACCTCCAAACTCCCCGAAAAAATCCAACAGGGCTCTTGTGCGACATGACGAACGCACCTTTGGCCGGCAGTCGGTGGTGGCAGGTTTGCTTTGAAACAACACACCACGCAGGAAATTTCATGGGCACGCTTCATGATTCATGACTCACATGTTTGATCATATGTTTGTTTTTGTGTTTGTGTGTCTGGGCATTGCAAAATTGCTGTATGTGTACTGACCCCCGTGCCGAACAAACGATAGCTCTTGTGGCCTGCTAAATGTCTGAGAGCGCACCACTACCTGGAGGATCCTGGAGGTTCTGCACAGGACCTCTAACGCAGGTACCTCTAACCACTCAATCAGTACCAAACGCAAACCTTGAACTCTGCCGCTGGAGGGATCTGGTTGCTGCCCCGACCGACCAACGACCAACGACGGTTCATGGCCGAGGCTCGGTGGATAAGCGACAAAGCTCCAATGGAACCACGTGTAAGCCGTAGTCAAGGCCAGCTCCTGCGGATGTTGAGCATCTGAGAATATACTGTAGTGGCTTCAGAGTAGATGGTGCAACCCCCCCAGTTAGGTGGTTTACATGGACCCCCATCCAAAAGACATCTTGGGGCCGGAACCACTGTGATCCTCCAATGCATGCCAAGGCCCTAGGAGTTGATCTCTAAACTTTAAACGTTGCAGTACAAGGACTGGCCCTGGGACTGACCTCAAAGCCTTATTTTAAGCATGTGTGGAAATCAACACAAGGGGTCAAACTATTGGACTCTTGTAGGTCCCTCACAATGCAGAACTCAGTTCGTCCAATAGGAAGGGTATCCGGAAGGGTGAACAAGCTGGTTCTTCTTGCAAAAAAAACACGTGTGACGCGCGTGAAAACAGGTGCCAAAGGCCATGGCCAAGGCTCCCATTTGCTGTTCGGGCTTTGACCCGCGCTCATGCCAGCCATGGTCTCGTTCCTCTCCAGACCCAACCTGGTGGGCGGCGCAGTCGTCGGTGTCGCCGACTTGAAGGCACTATGCGTATCACTCGACGTGACACCAGTCGAGTGATGTAAAGACCGATGGAAACTCATGGGCTCCTGTTTAGGGTTTAGGGTTTAGGGTTGAAACATTTATGGAAAACATCCAACTGGATGGGGGGGAAAACGACCCAAGACCAAGAGATGATAGCTTGTTGATGTTCAGGGGGCGCTAGGCGCCTGGCGCCGTTTCGGCCGCAGGGGTCGATCCGGGTCGAGGTCCAAACGGTGCAGCCGGGACACTTCTTGTATACGTCCAGGTTCACGTCCTTCCCCTCAAAGCCTGAGCATCCAGCTGGGCGGCAAAAGAACAAGAAATCAACGATGCTGGCCTGGAAACGGCTTCCAATTCCTGGCATTTTGGACAAACCAAAAACACCAACAACCACCATTTAGGACCTGTCCGGACATCCTGAAGAGACCTGCTTGCTTGGGGCGACCAGTCGAAGCTTTGGTTCTTTCGCTGCGAAGAGGAAGTTCCAGGGCTCCAATGGAGTCACATCCGGCGAGTTATGGTGTTCCAATGGTTGAGTCTCCCTGGTGTGCGACGATCCCATCGAACCTGGAACCTGAGTACACCCCTGGTTGGTAGAGGAAGGGAGAGTCTTCCATGGGACTATGTCAGTCAGGGTCGACATGTGAGTGGACTCGGGAGTGTAGCCTCTAAGAAACATGGAAGTGGATAGACTCCCATGAGCCCCGCTCGTGTTTGAATTCTGCAATGTTCCACCGCTCTGAACGAGACCAATTGATGAACGAGACCATTAAAGAGTGTCCACGCTTTTTGCGTCGAAAAACCGTTGAACCAATTCTCGTCCAATCCCTCACCCGCCCATGCACCCATTCACTTTAAACATAAAGCCGCCCAACTCCTCTGTAATCAATGACTGGTATTATGACGCATAGTTGTCGTCCTAACGTACCCACAGGTTGGTTGGTTCAGTTACTTGGCTGGAACTTCCTTCCGTTGCTCCAGGCAACGCGGTCCCCAGGCAATCTCTGCATCCCAATGAAGGCCACTGGAGCAAATCTCCCGCACACGGCTGAAGAGCGGAGGCCTTCGAACGCGAGGTCCGTGCGGTGCAAACCAGTGCACCTATGAATCAACCCATGAAATCACTACAAGTGGATGGTGAGCTAACCAAAGGTTGAAGAAACCCATAGATTATCCCATAGGAACTGCAGCTTGCGGGTCCAATAAGGTCACCTTCACCTCTCTTGAAAGGCCTTCAAACAAAACAATCAACAACAATACGACCATGCGCACGACCCATGAACATCCAACCGCAAAGAGTGGTGAGTAAAGGCCTTGTCCAAACAGAATACAACAGAACCGTGCTCGCCCTTGGACGGGGACCACCAGCGTGACCCTCTCCCACAACTTTTCTTGGGTGGCAAAGGAAGTCAAAACCAAAGGTTCAATGTAATGTAATCTCTTCAGGGAGTGGTGCATTTTGACACTTTACGGTTTGCTATGTGGTTCATTTTGACACTTGACGGTTTGCTATGCTGCATTCCTTCCCCATGTCCAAATCTCCAAGCCACTGATTGTCTGCCAGTTCTGGTAGCTTCGGCATGGGTCGGCCACTGGCACGGTGGTAGGCACGGACGCCCACAGCAGCGGCCACCACATCGATGAACTCACCTTCAGTGAGTTGTGGGGGGGGGGGGAAGGGACAGGGCATGGTGCAAGACCTCAGAAGAGCTTCCCCCAAAAACGTGGTGAATCTATGTGAATCTATAGTAATTAGATGCATATACCTTGTCCCCCAAAATAGACCGAAAAGTAAAACCCCTTTTCAAACTGTATTGGACCATGGTGACACTATGTGGGGACCAGGTACAGTAGGGTTGTTTGTAGGGTGTGTGAACCACGCGTCGTCTCACCGGTGAACCACGTTTCCGACGTGGCACCGTCCAACCCAGGTGGACATGCAAGGGGTGGGAGTGGACACACCGGAAACCCTCTAAGGGGCTATGTTATAAGTGTATATACAGAATATATATGTTTATATATTATATACCTAGAACCCATTTGATCTCTATGTTTGGTAGGAAAACCATATGTTTGGATAGTTGAAGGGTCGGTGTACCATTGTTGTGGCTTAGGTTGTATCTGTTCCATCGTCAGTCCTCCCAGTCCTTTCATCCTACTCTGAACCATTACCCTTGCCTCCGCACAAAGACGAATGCATTTCTCCTCCTTGAGTTCATCACCCTGGAGCTGTTCCAAACCTTCAGGAAGCTCCTTTGCCTCGATCAATGCGTTCCACAACACATCGGCAGCCTCGAAGTACCACTCTTTCTTCAGCACATGCCTCACTCACACAGCAGGCACCACCACTAGCAGGCACCACCTGTCGATCCTTTTGGGCCCCCGTCGTGCCAAAGGCCAACCTCTCCACAAGGTTGGAAGAGGAAATGGGAGTCTGAATGCCAGTTGGCATAAACCCAACGCGGTTGCAGCTTCCTCGCTTCAATGATACTTTCAGAGTCATTGCAAACAAACATGTTTGATTCTCTGCGTCTTTGGATGTATCATTAATATGTTTGACCAACACAACAACGCGAGCTCCTTCATCTGGCATCCCCAGCAGTGCTAATGAACCAGTGCTAATGAGACATGTTCAGGGCATGGTGGACATGACTGGGACTGGGGTGTTGAAGACTCTTGTGACCTTACTGGGCAAGACATCGATGCCAAAAAGCATCCCAGGACGTCCAACCGTCAAACCTAGATGGGTGATGGGTCCTGGGTCATGGCACCCGTTTCGTTCGCCCGTTTCACTCTGGTAGGTCAACGTCTCCCCGGTTCGGTCGACCCTTCTCTTCATATGTCAACGGTGGGAAAAACCAAGGTCCAGCTTTTCGACCGCCAGATCACAAGGAATTGACACCAATTGTTACAAGGAATCGCCAGGGCAAGGTGCTGAAGGTTGGCAAAGATGTGCACTAGGATGCCAATGTTGGTCTTCCAGTTCTCCTCATTGGTGTCAAACATGCCAAGGTAGTTTTCATGGACGACGAGTAGTTTTCATGCACCCCGACTCCTGTTGCCCATGCAGATGCACCCATCCGAATCCGGTCTTCGGAAGACTCTCCAGAAAGAGAGAAGCACAACACCATGTGATGCCTTCGTCAAAGCATAGCGGCGTAGATGTTGGATCCCAGAATGCCCCCAAAAAAAGTTGTACAAAACAGCAGCACAACTAGCAGCACATGAAATTTAAGCATTACATAGCATTACATCAGTACCAGTAATAAAACCACCCTACCTAGCATGGTCTTGCATCTCCGTTTGGAGAGTTTGATTCATCAACGGTACACACACACACACACCCTACACCTTCGCAACCGGGACCTGGCCGGGGATGCTTCGTTCTTCAGACCGCGGCGACCGAGGTCCCGCGGCCTCTCCTGCAGATCTGCGTGGAAGCTGTGCTCCTCGGTCCGCTAGTCCAACGGAAGAAGAAGCACCGAAGATCGATCGCGCCAAGTTGAGAACGGACACCGGTGGATTTGTGGTGAGCAACTCATCATGGTGGGAACACCAACTGATATCATAGTGGGAACACCTGATCCTCCACTGATCAACCAGCTGAGCAGCTGAGCACCTGGTGGAACCCAGCAGAGCCCAGCGCCCAAGGGCGTTCAGAGAGGGGTCCATTCCTCTGAGCAGCTTCTGTTGGGTGGGTTGATTGTGAGCCAATCGAATCTATGTACACTCCCTGGAAATACCCAATGGAAGTGGATGGAAAAAAGGCTCTGGAGACTCGGATGACCATGACATCTGAAAATCAGTCACGTCAATCGAGTTCGCTGTCGGTCGGCAGGTCTGGCGGTCACCTGGTCTCTCCACCATCAGGTCCTCTAGATGTCTTCCACTCAAATACACATGGGGGCTCAGCCGGCTCTCGTCTAAGGGACGTCGACCAATTAAAAGCGTACTTGTAGAATAAACCGTGTCCCTGCGCACAACGAAAAGTTCATATCAGCAGCAACTAGTCAAAGGATGTCAAAGGCATCAACAAGCTTTCATTGGATGCTAAGTCTTGGTGAATGGTAATTGTTCGACTGCGCCCGTCTTGAATTGGTATGACAAACACATTCACATGTAGACCTCTACCAACTGAGAATGCTGGTCTTGAACATGCACCTGAAAAAATCACACAAGGCCCAAACCAATATACCTGCAACTACTGTAGGGGGACCCTCATTCCAGACCCTCAGTAGTTGGGTGATGTTGGGGGTCATGGACAACACAAGCAAGGACATTCCAGCCAAGCCCAGGCTCGATGGCTAAGACATCGGCAAAGGTCTTCACCTTCTTCTCACGGCCAGCAGCCTAGGCCCAACCCTGACTCCGGTCGCGAGTGGCCGCGGCAGTAGAGGGTCTGCCACCTCAAGGAACCCCAAAACAGCAACTGACTAAAGGAAGAAGGCTGGAGGTCCACTGGAGGTGGATTCCTCTCCTGGTCCTGGTCCTGTACAGTCGGTGCAGCACCAGCGGCAACAAGCTGCAGGCAACCTGCCGCGTCGAGGCGCGCGAGGTGAGCGACGACTGTGGCCAGCAGCGGCGCCGTGAGAAAATGGTCCTGTGATCCATCTGCATGAATCAACAATGTCATACCCCCAGAGAAACATGGACCCTGGCTCCCACCAGACTCTGGCAGCAAGAAGAACACCGTGAAATCCAATTTTTCCCGTCTTGAGGCACCAAAACCAAGATCGAGCTCTCAAGGCACTTCATTAAGTCACTTCATGTTTGATATGTTTCGGGGTCGTCTTTGAATCTTTGAAGTCGGGCCTAGCCATCCCGATCCTCGAGCCAATGCGCACTGAAAAGGAATTAAGGCATTAAGGATTTGTCCCAGTTTTCTCCACCATGATTCATCTGATGACACTTTGGTGCACCCCTCCCTCCAAGCTCTCCGCCCACTTCCACAAAAACGACTCCGGAGAGCGGAGCTCGTTTTTGGGGCCTTCGCAGCTGGCCACACATTCAAAAGCTTCGAGGACGATCATGCACCGCAGGCGGCTCCAAAGGAAGTCGCCCTGGCACTTGATGGCGACTGTGGAGGTTAGCCGGTGGCCGCTGATGGCCAGCAGAAATGCAAAGTAAAAGCCCAGAGTCTTTGAGGGAATGATCACTTGAGCTGGGGAGCGCTGAATCACATGGAAATGCGCCCATGTGCAGAGGACCACATGGACCAACATGCTATAATGTAGACATGTCCAATTCAAATTGGGGGGGTTATTCATCAAGAGTCTACATGCCAGGACCTTCAAAGTGACCTCATTCTAGGATCTCAAAAGGTCACTTTGAAATTCCTGGTGGTTGTTCTTTTCTTAATCCCTGTTTCTTGTTCGTTTGGTCTAGTTCCCAGGGTCCCACCAGGGATGGAATCTGAGGACTGGCTGCACAGAACTACGACTTGCGAGGTTTTCGGCGCGGAAAAGACGGCTTCCTATTGCCATACCCTAGGGATCCACATACCTTCTCAGGAGGTACTTGGGATATGAATATCAATACGGGATATGAATATCAATATTAGTTACGATAGGTTCTATATATATATATGCCAATTATGCCATCATATTCCTATTGCTGCAGTTGCTCCATCCATCATACTGGCACGTAGCTTGATTGATGTTTGTCATTGCTGCTTGCCTGGGACGTAGTGATTCACCACAGAAAGACATCTCGAAACTCAAAACAGCAGTTCTTCATCCCAAACAGGACTCCCCCAAAGAATCACCTTGACATGCTTGCTTCGCCCAAACCTGGCCTAAGTGGTCTAACATGGTCTAACAACAAGCCAACTTACGCAAGCAAGCCATGGCAGCCATGGCAGTCTTCTGAACACCAAGATGTTCGCCCGGAAACTGCCTGCAGGCGATTTCTGACCAAATCCCCTATGCCCTGCGGCCGTTTTCCGGCAAAAGCTAGAGCTCCTCCCACGACGCGTGGTGCGCGTTGCGCGGCGCGGGGCTCCTGACCACAAAGCTTGTGCAGTAGCTTCTCATTGGCCTCCTGCATGGCCTCGATCTTACCTGTGGACGAAAGGGGGGTAACGGGCAAATGGATGGCAGTCGGCCATGCAGGGCCTGCATGGGAAAGGGAATGAGTCGAGGGGGATGTCCTTGCTCTTCTAGTAGTGCTCGTATCAAGAAGGCCAAATCTCAAGGGCTGTGCCAACCACTTGGACAGTGCCCAATGGACATGATCTCCCTTGCAGCCAAGGTGGCAACGAGTGTGATAAAGGAACAAAACCACCTACCAAGCATTGCCAAAACAATATTCTGGCTTCATTGCCAACGAATGGCCCCTATGGTTTTGGATGAATTGAACGCCCCTCAGCCCCCTGGTCCTTTTCCAAGCGGCTTCCACCTTTCTTGGCCATGGCGGACGGGCCCGGTACTGGCCCCACGACGGCCCCCCTCGCTCGAAGCCAACTGCCGGGATCCAGCTCCGTCTCCAGGCGTGGGTTGGTTGGCGTTGGCCCCAAAATGCTTTCCAAGCCTTAGACGCACCTTGATGGACCGAAACTGAACAGAACAGACTACAATACCTCAACACGCCATGCGACTAAACACGTGTGCTTACATTGACCCCTTAGAAACAAACCGCCCCAATGTATGGCTGGCAGCCAGTCGGATGTTGGCAGCCAGAGCCTACCCAATCATGGATGACCAACCGGTGAGGCATCTGGTCCATCTGCTCATGGTCACATGGCTCAGGGAAATGCTGAATGTCAGTCAGTCACTATAGTGAAGGTCAGTCGGTCCCTGTCGTAAAGATGACGAACATGCACAATTGTGATGATTCTGGAATCCTGAGTGCGTTCCAACCAATCATCCAATTACACGAATTTGTCTGCAAACATGCTGTTCAGGGGACGTTGGAGTTGGAGTTGTAACCTAGTAAGGCTACCAACTTGCAAGGATAAAGTCCACTGCATATTTGATGGCCCAATCCAGCACCCTCCCAGTCGTCTCTTTTAATTAGTGGGGTTCGTGCTCAACATCCACCCTTGGTAGCGAAAAACATGACACATGATCCATCAACCAACCCCTAGGGATCCAGTCGTACCTTCTCAGAAGGTGATTGGAGACACTGTTATGTAGGTTTGGAGGGTCCAAATACCTTCTGAGGAGGTACTTGGATCCCTAGGGAAACATCAACCAAACTCACCTTAATCAACATGGCCTCTTCAAGAAAGACTTCCCGTAGTGACAATGCTAAGGATTGCCACCGACCCAAACATCTGCAACTTATGATTTTCTCGGGGTTCAACCTTTCCAATGAGGTCCTACCAAGCTTGTATGTAGACTCATTGATTAAACACGATGATTCGATGATTTTAACACTTCTTCATATGGCTGGGGCTGTTAAATCAAGAGCCTATACAATGTCGACCGACGGGTCAACCAACCCCTCGGTGTCGGGCAGGCGATACTGGCAGTCGTTCACCATCTGAGCCTCTGAGAGCACAGCCGACCGCTCCTGGTAGCCGCCAACAAAAACGAAAAGGAAGAACAATGAATCAAACGAAGGAATCAATATGAATCTTGGCAGCCCGGAAGGAATTCACAGCCCCAATCAACCTGAATCAATGTTTAGGAATCCAATATGTAGGAATCAATATGAATCAATGATTCATTCTCCAATCGCTCTCACTTTCTGGGATTCACCTCAGGATGTTAAGAGATACTAAAGATGGGTAGTTAACTACGAGTCACTGGAGTCACTGGAGTCCCTGGAGTCGCCGACGTCGCCGATCTGTTTCAGGAAATGGTCTTGAATCCCTGATGCTGGAACCCATCAAGGCCTCACGTTTTTCTTTGTTCTTGTATGTAAACAGGGGTTTCAACTTACCACTCACTGGGTAGGTGTGGAGCTTTGAGTACTGAGTACCTCTCAAAGATCATAGACGGTGTTCCCCGTATACTCAGCGAACTTATCAAAATGCACTGGCCACAGAAGCGACACGCACCGCGTGGTAGGAGATGAGCCGAGCCGAAAGGGCCGAAGAAAGCGTGTGGTGAAGATAGCGTTGGTATGATTTTATATAGATATATGTCATGTTTACTTTTGATACCCAACCAAAAATCTACAGTATGTTGAAGTGGTTTGTGCCAACTTGCTGGGTCTCAACATTTATGGTAATTACTTCCTTTTTGGTGTTGTTTGATGTTTCGATTGGAATCAAACATGCATAGAGGGGGATTGATGGGAAGGATGCAAACGACTTGATCAATGTGATGGTCAATAATGGCTAACCATGATGGCCGGTTGGCTGTGATGGTGGGTAAATGCTCGCTAAGTGGCCGTATTTGGGGTACACTGCGGGTTCGGGTGCAAACAATAAAGCAAATTGACATACTATATATATATATATATATAGGGTTGGTAGAGGAAAATAATAGTCTTCCATGGGACCATTGTCAGGGTCTATGTTAGTTTTCAGGAGTGTATGATTACACATCATATCACATCCACTATCACATCCATATGAGTGGTCGTTGTTGTTGCCGCTGCTGTTGTTTTGGGCGAATACAATGTGGAACAACATGGGGTAGTCCGCGATGAGTCCGAACCGAGTCCGAACGCATGAGGGGCGCAGAAGAGTTCCCTACAGATTCTGTAGAATGTCTTTGGACATTCCAATGAAGTGCTGCAGGCAAACGCAAACACACTAGAATTGCATGTAGGGGCTACTGTAGGGGCCCCCCTATCCCCACAATATCCATGCCCATCTCCTTCTCCACACGCTCTGGTCGGAAAGCCGGCTGGAAACCTGACTCAAACGCTGGTTATTTGGAGATCCCAGGTTAAGGCTAAGGCGTCTCTCCCGTCAGACCGCGAGACCAACCAACAATGCTTGGTTCTCCCAGAACACCATCAGAAAAAAAACGCTTGAATAAACCCGATATACGTCGAAGATAGAAACAACATGAAACGACATTCATCCACCAAGTAAATCATCAAAGCAGCAAGGGGCTTATGCATCCATGAATGAAACCTGCAATCGAACTGTTACCAATTGGTTAGCCTCCCTCCAACAACAATGGAAGTGGAACATGGCCGCTTGGAAAGACCATGAAATCCTCTACAAACAGGGGGTGAACTCCACTTCCGTGCTTGTTGGAGGGAGGCTAGTCCTTTGCCCATCTCAAGCTAAGCCTCAGACACACATCTGCAAGAACCTGCACCAAAGGCGGTGAAGCAAAAAAAACAAAGGTCCTGTTGATGGTAATGCTGCTTGAGCGACCTTTTCATTTCATGCATGACAACAAGAATGGCACGTATAGTGCTATTATATATAGCAATATATATATATATATGAAATATATATATATATCATACTATATCATACTATATATAGTGCTTTCCGAAAATGGGTGTATATTGGAATTCCGGATCCCGGGGTTTGGGTCTCATGATTCGTCGAATGTTCCTTCCGACGGGGCTGGTCTGGTGTCGCTGATCGTCATGGCACCCCCTGCGATATGGATGAAGGATGGGGACGGACCGACCGACGGACCTGGAACAAGGCATGGGAACATGCATACCTTTTGGTCCAAGAAAGTATGAACCAAACACATACGCCTTCAGTCTCTGGTGACGCCACTCTGCCCGGTTCTGCCCTGGGCTCTGCCCTGTTACCAACCCACCTGCTCAGCACGGCTCAGCACTGCTGTTGAACCACTTCCGTCCGACTGTCGAAACGCCTTGAGGCCCTCTGGCAAATGCTCCGAGCCGATGTTAACGTAGTAGACCTGCGCGTGCGTGCTTCGCGCGACTTGGAAGCGGGATGAGCAGCAGGTGAGCTCCGAAGATCTCATGTCTTCCACTGCTTCGAACATATCGAACATATCTTCCAAAGAGAAAGGGGTGAATCCAGTGACTTGGTGGTACTTTCAAAAGGCTCTTCCTCCAACCGATCTGGTCTTGGACTAGGAGTTGGTCCGAACATACAGAGGGAATCTGTTGGTCTCCCACTGAAGTGAAGCTCCACGACTGGCTCCTCAAGTCTTCTCACGTTCCAGGATCAGTCCTAATCTCCAAAGCGTGAATGGCTTAGGGGCCCACCCACATGGGCCCACATGGGCATATGCTTGTCTCCCCAGCCGCCCACCCACATGGGCGTCCACCTACCAGAGCCTAACAGAGCCTTCATGAATCTTCACTCAATGGATTTATCTGGATTTATCAATAGATTTACCTTTGCTCGATGGATTTCGAAGCAAACGCATGAAAACACCCTACAAGACCTAATATAGGTCATTGGGGCTTCAGAATTTGGGTCCCATGTTGTCCATCAATTGCAACCTCTCTCACGCGGCCAGCGGTCGAAAATGGCCCGAAACCCGGAATGACTCAACTTCATGACTGAAAACTCTACACTCCGACTAACACGGGACAAGTGGAGTTCACCCTGCTTCTAGGGAAACGTCAACAAAAGGTGCCATCCACGTAACCATGTGATGTGTGAGTGATTGTGAGTGTATCATACCAGGACCATCCGAAGCGAGTCCAACAGAGATGCCCAAGCAACTGCTGTAGTAAGCGAGACCCGTCTAGCCCTGACTGCCTGGGACCTGAGGAGATCCAACCCTGCTGAGATTCCGCTCACCTCACCCCTGCAGCCCTTTTAATGCCCTCACACGAGGCCGCCGCCAAAGGAAAAAACACCCACCCCAGCCGTGTGGTTGAAGTCGGTGCATGCGTTGCTGGTCATGCCTTGAGTCATGGCCAGGACTGATCCCTGTAGGATCCCCCAAACACTATAGTGGATTGAGAGTAGATGGCACAACCCCCAAAGGCGGTTTATATGGACCCCCTAAAGGACATCATGGGGTCTGTGCCATCTACTCTGAAAGCACTGGAACATGGAAGTGGAAAAGCACCCCGTTCGTAATCAAGTAGTCTTGCAAGGGACCATGCCATCCACTTCCATTTGACGTGTTCGTCATAGTGTAAGTCTGCCTGTGTGATTGGAGGGGCCTGGGTCTCGTCTGAGATGTGACCAGTGACCCGGATCTTCCAAAAGGGAAGGGCGGCGTATATCCAAGTTTCGCATGGTGTCATGGCTTAGGTGGACCCGAATTCACTTTCCTGCTTTAATCACCCTTTACCAAAGGCTATAGATTTGTACATCTGTTTGACCACCCGTCCTGTCCGGGCAAATACTTCATCAAAACAGAAGAGGTTGGCTGGGGACGTGATTCCGAAGAGGTTCCACCAGTATCCATCAGCTTCCTCTGTCGGTGTTTTCAGCTGAGAGTGGCCCTTTGTCCCCCGCCACCCAATCGATGTAGCGCTGAGGGCTCCCGTCCCAGGCCACTACTCTGCAGCTCCATGCGCTTCTCGCTGCCCAGGAAGCAAATCTCGGAAGGC